GACCGCGGTCACCCCCCCCCCCCCCCCCCCCAACACCATGTGTGGGTTCTAGTATAAATCTACACAAAAAAAAAGGAATCATTTCAGTTTAAAGTTCTACGTTAAACGTTGGATTTATTCTATTTTTGGAAATTGTTTTTCATATTTTTGACGGTCCAATCTGAAGCCTGCAGAAAGGACACATGTTAAAGCAGGGGTTCCCAACCCCTGGTCTGGGGACCGGTGCCAGTTCGTGGGTCAGCGGGAAAAAATGTACTTGATAAACAGCTTGATAAATTGACTTCATTCGAAAAAGAATCCAGTCACATCCCTTTATTTAAAGATAATCTGTCAATGTTTCAAAACAACAGGTCAAAGGTCATTCAGACCAATGCTACCAGAATAAAGTCTAAAAGATGTTTTAGACCAATAGCCAAGGGTTGGTTTTGTATTGGGTCGCAATTAACAATTTATTGATTATTGGTGCAAAAGATGGTTTATTTTCAAAGCTCAGAGGTTCCCAAACTATGGGTCCCGGACTTGAACTGTGGTCACCTGACCACAAAAACTTATAAAAATATAAATATATATATGTAACATGTAATTGGCATTTTATTTACTATCAGTGGATCGATGTTAAAGATGACGAGACCTAAAGTCTTTGAGGAGCAGCGTCGACCTTCAAAATAAAAGAACGGCACGTTTACAGTCCTACTTAAAAAAAAAACCAGATTCATCACTGCGAACTTTTATCTTATTTTTACAGTATATTGTTAGTTATTTCCTCTCGCACCTTGACGACGTGTCCCTGTGAATATTGTCAGATTTGACATAGAAAACGCATCAGGATCTGTTAAAGACGGGGACGTTGAACGGATTAACGTAGACTTCACGGGTAGAAAATATTAAAAGCGTTTGGCGTTTTTTTTTGTTTTTTTGTCTGTCTTTTCTTTTCTTCGCCTGCCAGCTCCTCAGTCAGCCAAGGGGCCTGCTGGGTATTTGGGGTATTTCCATGTGCACTAACCCAGGAGCTGTTAGCTAAAGCAGCCCTTTAAAGCACTACACCAGCAGTCGGTCAGTGTTCCAGCTCAGCCTCGGAGGAAGTGTCAACCACGAGTTTTCATTTGTTCAGTTTTTTTTTTTTGAAGAATCCAATCAGTCGGAGCCTGTTCTGTCAGAGGACAGCAGGCGAAAACTGCTGTTGGGAAAAAAAACAGCGCCCTCCGTAGGTTGTGCTGCAAAAACTGACCTGAGCTCAGCTCCAGAGTAAAAAAGACAAAGGTAACCGACCAAATGACCAATCAGCAACCAGCTCTCACTGTGCTGGTGGGGCAACAGACCAACCAGTGTTCAGCAGTCTCTTTCACTCTGGCAGTCAATCTGGAACAAACCAGTTTGAACGGATTCCCCCGACTTTACGTTCATCCATCAGTGAAACTTCTTCTCTTTTAGTTTTGTTTTTTATATTAGATTTTTTTTTTTTTTTTTTTTTGGACGACCTCAATTATGTAAATGTCCTGAACCACACAAATCAAAACCCGTGTCCATGAACGCAGCCCGGGAGTCGGCAGCCCATTAGGCCGCAGCCGCGTCCCAAAGTGCTTTCAAGGACGATAGCGTGGGGGTGTGTGTTCAGCAACCCTCCACCTCCCCACCTCCTCACCCGCAACCCCCAGTGCTGATCTGCAAGTGCCAGAGTGAGAGGAAACTGGGTGAGAGGAGGAGAAGGAGGAGGAAGAGGAGGAGCAGGAGGAGGGGAAAACAGCTAGACAAAAAAAAACACAAACAAACAAACAAAGAAAAAAGGACACAAATCACAAACAAACAAACAAAAAAGGACACAAACGCACACACACGGAGAACGACGGCCGGTCAGACAGAAACAAGGAAACAAAAACAAAAAAAAAAGAAAAAGAAAGGAAGGAAACAAATGGAGAAAAACAGAAAGACAGATGGACAGTGTAACACAGACTGACAAGAGCCGACGTACAGACGCATGATCTGCTCAAACCTGGGGAAGGAGACAGTGACACAGCAGCAACAACAACAACAAACACAACAACAACAACAACAACAACAGCAGCGCCATCTATCAGACATGGACCTACGGTGTGACCTTTAACCTTCAACTCTGACCTCCCTGCTGCCTCTACTGTACAGGTGAAGGAGGGAAGGCACGAGAACTGGCTAACGAACGGTGAACGGTGAGAAGCCTTGAAGTCACACAGGCAGGCACGCACTCACACAGTGTGTGTGTGTGTGTGTGTGTGTGTGTGTCATTAGCTGACCGTTAGTCTGTGTCTCTCTCCTGTTTCATTAGCACTGGGATTTTGATGCTTTGCTGTGATTCAGATGAATTCATTACATAAAAAAATAAATTGTTTTAAACAATAATATAAAAAATAATAAAAAAGTATAAAGAGATAAAATTAGTTAAAAAAAGGTGCTTCATTAAAACTGTGAGACAAAGTCATTAATAACACATTTCAATATTAAAATGATCAGTTTTCTAATTCTACTGCTGAGGAAACAACCCTTCAGCCTGAAGGGGGCGGTAATTCCCCCACTATGTTTTAGGGCAACAAGGGAGATTAACTGTATTAACAAAGTCTACCTCCTATTAGTTGAACTAATATAAACTACGTATCACGTCTGAGTCGACGCAGAACTCACTGCTGCCCCCTAGACTAAACAGGACAGGAAGTAAGAATTACATTTGTTTTTTTTAAATGTCTTTGTTCGATGTTTTTGAAGGTGATTTCCTGAGTACATTTCTGGTTGTACAGTACAGTGCACTGCATTCTCTCATTTGTACACGATGGCGGCTGCTGGTACTGCAGCAGCTACTGCAGTACCTCTGCAGTACAGAGGCAGGACTATAGTACACAGGTACTGTGAGGAGTACTGTAGTAGAACGCAGTTCATTTTGTCGTTTTAAAGTCGAACTGGACTGGACAACACTGATCTGACTCATCAGGAGGATTGGCCAATCACGGCGTCTGTACTGATGAACATTTCGAGGAAATTATTTTCAAAAAAATAAAAAATAAATATATTTTTTTTCTGCAGATAAAAGTGATTAAATCCTAGTTTAAAAAACAATAATAAAAAGATGTTAAATGTTTTTTTTGTACACAAAAAATATTGGGCAATATTTGCAATGTGTGTGTGTGTGTGTTTGTGCGTGCGTGCACGTTAACGTCGACTGTTTTCGGACCCAGTTCCTTTCCAACCAATCAACACCAAGCGTCCAATGACAGCCCGCTGCTGTCACTGAGGTACCGCCTTCCCTCCAACCCTCCTCCTGTTCCTCCTCCTCCTCCTCCTCTTCCTCCTGCTGCTGTTCTTCCTTCTCCTTTTCCTCCCTCATTCCTCTGCCTCCGCCCATCCGCCCTCCTACCTTTTCGAACGTTCCCATCCGTTGTGCGCTGGAACTCGCCGGCGCGCAGCAGGAAGCAGGCCCGGTCGTGCGGGTAACGCTCGCGGCTGGTGGTGGAGCCGAGGCCTCCGGTGGCCGGGCTGCGCTCGTCTCCCAGCACCTGGTCTATGGTGGGGCAGTCCTCGTTGGCCAAGGCCGCCGCGTTGGCGCCTGTGTCACCGTTCTGCTTGGAGTCTGAGACAGACAGAGGCAGAGGGACGGGAAGAGAAAAATAAATTAAATGAAATTAAAAGAGGGAATTTCAAAGGTAAGGACACAGGTTGACATCCAAGGAAAGGAAACGAGGAAGGAGGGAAGAGGACGCTTGAAGAAATGAGACAGGAAGAGGGGGAAAGTTGAGAGTGAGTGATGTCCAGGGAAGATGAATGAAGGTGAGAAGGTGAAGGTGAGGTGGTCAGCACAAAGGCAATAAAAATGGAAAAAGGAGATAAGAGCAGAGGTGAGGAGGAGGGAGTGGGAGTGGGTGAGGAGAGACAGGTGGGGGGGGGGTTGGGGTCGGGAGGAAAGAAGGAGAAAGAAATAAACTGTCACTACGGTAGACTGTGATAAATATCCTGGTCACATGACCAGCAGAACACACACACACACCTGTATTCACACAGTCGTGTGGACATTTCAGTGCAGTTTCTCGAAACATCGAATTTTTTTGTACTTTGTCGGATCAGAACAGTATTTTTTGTACTGTGATAAACGTGTTTTGATCAAAGCTCTGAAGCATCAGCAGTGACAGAGTTTGATCTCAGGGTAAAATATACTGCAGTACTGGACAAATACTCATATCATAAATATCATAAACTTCGCAGTAATTGGCTACAGCCTCAGTGACAGCCTAGTGGTGAGTCTGAGCATCAACGCATCTGCAGGCGCTGTTAGCTAGTACTGCTACTGATCTGACTGTGAGCGAGAACACACACACACACAGACACACACACACACACAGAGAGAGAGAGAGCATTGCATGACACAAGAAGCAGAAACAGTGGCGTGAGGCGGTGATCGTCATCACAGCCACGCAGTAGGTGATTAAATATGGACGAAGCGCAGCGGCCTGCGGAGGCAGCGCGACCTCCTGAGGAGCAGCTGGGATGGATCACAGTGGCAGCTTTACGGCCGCGCGTCTTTATGATGTGTCATAACTCCTTTGTAGGACACGCAGTCTGACCTTCTACTCACGACCATGTTCAGAGGGTCGCGGTCGATTGTTCAAGTAACGGGCTGTTTGTTGACGTGTAACAGATGAACGAGGCAGTAGATGTGAAGATTTCTTATCGCGGAGCTGAGCTTCGGAAACGACAGCGATGAACGGAATTCTTTATATTTTTTTAGGGCGAATCACGCGCTGTGATGGAAATAACCGCCGCTCTTTAAATGTTGGATTTATACTCAGCTTTACTGTTGGTGTAAAGTCTATGGGATAATGTGGATTTTACCATGAAGTACTAGAGTACAGGAACAGGAAATACTGTACTTCTAAGAAATTATTAATATATTGAAATATTATATATTTCGATATTCTGCAGCACTGTTTAGATTTTTTTTTATATTCTGCAGCAATGTATGGATTTTTTTTAAATTCCCAGTCAAATATTCCTTCTTTTCCTTCTTCTGTAGTGATTCCAAACGTATATTCCTCTGTATCGGCGTGCCGACAGTACCACAATATATCGCAATATATATCGTATTGTTGCCGATAAGTATCGTATCGCCCGGTACTGTGTTTCTGTAGACGTGAACTCACCGGCTCTGTTGATCTCAATGATCTCCTCCTGAGCCAGAGGACAGTCTCCGGTACCCAGCATGCTGCCAGATCCAACCATGCCCGGCCCGAGCACATTTCCCATGAGCCTGTGGGGTGAGGCGGTGGCCATGGCCAGTGCATCTGGCTTGCAGTAGTTGGGACTTCCTGGCTGGGGCGCTCTGGGGATGTGCTTGTTCCTCTTCTTGGGGAGCTTCTGTTTGGCCATGGCCAAGGAATAGTACATGCCGAAGTTGTTGACAATGACGGGCACGGGCATGGCGATGGTTAGCACGCCGGCTAAGGCGCAGAGAGCCCCCACCAACATCCCTGACCACGTCTTGGGGAACATGTCTCCGTACCCCAGCGTGGTCATGGTCACCACGGCCCACCAGAAACCGATGGGGATGTTCTTGAAGTCGGTGTGGAGCGCAGCGGTGGGGTCGCCCGGGTCGGCTCCGATGCGCTCGGCATAGTAGATCATTGTAGCAAAGATGAGGACGCCCAGCGCCAGGAAGATGATGAGCAGCAGGAACTCGTTAGTACTGGCCCGCAGCGTGTGGCCCAGGACCCGCAGACCCACAAAGTGACGGGTCAGCTTGAATATACGCAGGATACGGACGAAACGCACCACACGCAGGAAGCTCAGTACGTCTTTGGCTGTTTTGGAGGAGAGGCCCTGCAGCGCCACCTCCAGGTAAAAGGGCACGATGGCCACAAAGTCAATGATGTTGAGGGCGCTGCGGAAGAACTCTGCCTTGTCGGGGCAGAAGATGACGCGGGCCACCACCTCGATGGTGAACCAGATGACGCACACGCCCTCCACGTAGGTCAGCCAGCTGTCGGTGACCATCTCGTACACGATCTGCAGGGCGAGAGAGAGCGGGAGAGAGAGAAGGAGTCACTGGTTTGTTTACATTCAGACGTAGTTGATTGACACGTTAACGTTAGAGACGAGAGAACGACAAACAGAGACTCAGCAGCTGGGACTGAGTTTTTATTCTGGTAAATATGACATTTCTTTTTATATTTTTTTATATTTATATTTAATATTATATTTCTGCTGATTGTGTTTACTGATCAAACACTGTCAGATTGGGAACTCAT